GGACTGCTAATAACTTTTAGTTTTATTTCTTAATTCTCGAAGAAATCCTGTCTGTTTGGTTAGATAATAAAATTGCTCTTCTTAGTACATGGCAAGAAGTAGTTCTGAATCTACTGACCTGTTTATAAAAAGAATGGATTACAAAGTATTTGAAGGTTAAAGGTTAATATCCTTTGTTCTGGATAATTTTGAATCTTGGTATTCCAGAGTTTCTAGTGATTATATGTGGGATAGATACAAGGATGTATCCTTTCCTAGATGTGTCAAAATTACTGAGTTGATATAATGAGTTGAAAAGAAAACCTTCAGAGTAATTCATATTAGACTATGACTTGAAAATCTATTTCATTTTTTCTTAAAGTTTTCATTTGTGTGACACACGTGCAGGAAAACCCTGTTGAAATTGGATTACCAAAGATTTGCAAAATGGTTGTTATTGTTGAATAAAATTATTCTTTTGGATGATTTAGGTTATATGGATGCATAAGTTGATGGGAGTTGTGGTCCTTTTAGGCATAGGTGCTGAAGTAATAGTTTTGCTATTTTGTTTTAGCAGGGATTTATTGTTTCCTTGTCCTTATGGGATTTGATTTTGGATTGCCTAATATAATTCTTTTTACCAACAATGGATTGCCTTAAAAAGTTATTGTCTGAATTAGTTACGTATCCTTCTTTCCCCCTTCAAAAGGAGATCTTATCTTCTTCTTTTTTTCTTAGTTCGAAATCAGGGAGCAGAGGTTGCACTTTGCAGATACTAGTCCATCAAGTTCTTATTCACGCAAGGAAGTGCGTTTTATTACTAAACCTCATTCATTGGTTATCAGATATCTTTGTAAATCTTACTTTTTTAAATTGTGCATCTGTGTATTTTGTCACTAAATTACTTTAGTTGCAGGATATTGTAAGCATTTGCAAGAGGAGAGGTGGAAGTGATACAAGAAATCTATCCCATAATGAATGGTTACAAACTGTTCAGTTTGAACCTGATGTAATTGCGATGTCATTTATACCAATTACCTCTCTGCTGAATGGAGTTCCAGGGAGTGGATTCTTGAGCCATGCCATAAATCTTTATTTACGATGTAAGCAAAAATTCTTCTGTTTGCATCACTGTTGCATTTGATTTTCTATTTACTGCGTTTAAAAATCTTGACTCTTATTTGTGTATATCATATATATAGATAGTTTGGTATGTTAGGTTGCCAGAGTTTCAATCCAAATCATTGATGAAGCGGAATCTTATTTGGATGCATGGTATAGATTCACAGTTTGGCAGCATGTCATATATTTGGAAAGAGAACATGGACTTGCATTTGCACATGCCGCAGGAAGCTGCTTATTTACATTTATTTATGGTTTGTTAAGTTTTAGGAGTCGGGAGTTCTTCTGCTGGAGATGGGCTGTTGTTGTCACCCGTGGGTCTAATTTCAGGTTTCTAGTCGTTGATGCTTGTTCAAGATTATGTGCAATCCTAATCTGAGGTGCCATAGATTGGGATGGGCAATGGGTACCCATTTGGTGTTAGGAATTGGTAGTGGTGATGGTGACGGTTGTGTGTCTTTTGCGTACCCATTGCCCATCCCTGGTGCTAGGACTCAAATCCACAACCTCCCTCTTAAGGGGAAAGGCACTGCTGTGTAACAAGGGTCAGTGGTTTTCTATCTATTTTACTAGACGAAGTTATGCAAATTCTCCAACTTCCGACACCTTGAACTGTTAATTCCTACCTTAAAAACTGTGAGTCAGCCTATTAAAAAACTCTAGAATCTACAAGTAGCCAACTTAACTTCATCAGCACTGTTTACAGCCCTTAAAAGCCCCAAGCTAAATTCTTTTTCCATCCCAGCCAAAACTGCAGTTGTCTTTCCTAAACGTTTTCTAAATAGAAGTTTCTTGGAATTTTTTATTTTTTTTTTCACTTTCTTTGGTATTGATTTGTAATTTTATTTAGTTTGTGAAAGAAACTAAATATAGATAATAAATTTACTGAGATATTGAGTTTTTGAAGGCATCATTTCCTAAACTGAAACTATGTCAGATTTTCCTGTGTAGCTTCTAAAACCTTTTATTTGTAGTTTCCAGGAAAGTATCCTCCACCATGTTTTGTTTTCTTTACTTTTAGAAGAATTAAATATGAGCTATTGGGAAATTTGATGCCAAAAAAAAAAGCGTGTCTGTTTAAGTGATGAAGCACTCTAGCGTATGAATGTAGTGGCCATGCATATACTGCCTACAATGGAATATTGGGGCCAATTTGTTTTGACTAAGAGGAGATTACAACTTCCAAAACCGATTGTGCTTTTCTAATGGATATTGCACATTTCTGTTATGAAAGCATGCTTGTGAAAAGGAATCATGATCCTTTTAATTTTAAGAGTAACTTAGCACAATTGTTCCATTAATGGAGAAACACCTTCTGGAGCTGAGCAGTTTATAATCTGTAGGGTTGGTCCACAATATTACAGGATAAGTTTTTAGCTTTGCAACAGATTCAAAGCATTATCTTTTTTTTTTTTCTTTTTTTTTTAAATAAAGAAAAGAAACAGGAGTAAATTTCAGTTCTGCTCCTATCTTGCAGATAAACCACCAATTGAAGAGCTCCATCAGTTTTTGGAATTCCAGCTGCCAAGGCAGTGGGCACCAGTTTTTAGTGAACTTCCTCTTGGTCCACAGCGGAAACAACAAAGCAATGCATCTCTACAGTTTAGCTTAATGGGGCCCAAACTTTACGTTAACACCAGTCTGGTAATGTATCCCCATGCTTACCTTTTTTTTTTCTTCAGAAAGAAAGAAAAGAAAAAATTTGTTGCGACTGAGTGGTTTAAAATACATTTTTTATGTTCATAGGACAATTTTTTTTTTGTCATGTTGAAGTTGAACCAGTCATTCATCCATTAACTCTAGAAACTGTTTTATTCTGTCTATTTTTAGAACAGAAGGTAATAGAAAACTTTTGTCACCCTGTTCTCATATCTTTTTTTTTGTTTGGTCAATCCTGTTCTCATATCTAAGTTCTGCAAATCTCTGAATTGATAATGGCCTCTGTTTGAGTGGTGATTTACTGTCTTCGCATATGTCATGATGCTCCACTAATTCCATGACATAAACTATACCATCTGATTATTGAGCAGAAAATAGAGAGAGAGAGAGAGAGAGAGAGAGAGAGAGAGAGTGAGTACTTCGCATGCTTAAAACAGTTTTCTTTCTGGCAATCATTATTTGTTATACGTTGATATCAGGTTGACGTAGGAAAGAGGCCAGTGACTGGTCTGCGGCTGTACCTAGAAGGCAAAAGAAGCAACCGTTTGGCCATCCACTTACAACACCTATCCTCTCTTCCAAAAATCTTCCAACTCGAAGATGATCCAAATGGAAACTTCCGTCGTGATTCCTATGATCGTAAATACTATGAGAAAGTCCAATGGAAGAACTTCTCTCATGTCTGCACTGCGCCTGTGGAGTCTGATGAGGATCTTTCAATAGTAACCGGAGCCCAGTTACAGGTTGAGAATTATGGAATAAAGAATATCCTCTTCTTGAGACTCCGGTTTTCTACTGTTTTCGGGGCTACAGTTGTAAAGCATCCTGAATGGGATGGATCACCAGGTTTGGCACATAAATCTGGACTCATATCAACACTAATCAGCCATCATTTTACAACAGTTCAGAAGCCACCTCCGCGGCCAGCAGATGTGAACATAAATTCTGCTGTTTACCCTGGGGGTCCTCCGGTTCCCATCCAAGCTCCAAAGCTTCGGAAATTTGTTGATACAACAGAGATGACAAGAGGGCCACAAGAGACTCCAGGTTATTGGGTTGTCTCTGGGGCAAGGCTAGTGGTTGAGAAGGGCAGGATTTCACTTCGTGTGAAGTATTCTTTATTGACTGTGATATTACCTGATGAAGAGTTGGAGGGACATTAGCTCATTCTGCTTTTTGTCAAATTAAAATGGAAAAGCTCCCAAGAAGAAAAGAAGTTACATGGTATAGATGTATGGTACTAAGAGGAGGAAGAACGGGGTGGATGTGAGAGGGTGAGGGTATTTGAAATCAGAGGGCTAGGATTCGTGTATATTTCATTTCTCACCTCTGATGTCATTTGTTTTGAATGTAGATTTTTCTGATCTTCACAAGTTCATAACAGGGCAGGGTTCTGTCATTTGCAAATTTATCTGATGTAAAATTTTGGGTGGGGTATATGAGCTGAGCTTTCGGCTTTCAACGGTTTGTGGGTTGGGTAAGGCTTCGGCCGTGGTGTCTAGATTTGGATGAATTTACCGTAACAGAAGAAGCGGTTTCGTCTTCCTTGTAAACATATAGGGAAAGGGAATCAAAATCCATTTTTGCATGGAATTGACATTCCAGAAATAATTTCAAATTACAAGCTAAGCTCCTAAATCAGTTATGCCTTTGAGTTATTCCTCCAGACAATTTTTAATTCTTGTGTTTCTACTAATTTTTTTGGGATATTTCTACAATATTGTGCACCCCCTTGCGACTTTAGACTTATAACAAAAAAGTCAGGTTCATAAAAAAGGCCCTAAGCTTGGCTGCTCGTTGGCTGAGGGCCTTAGTTTTGTTCCATTGACCCTCTTCTAGCATGCCTAGGTCCTTAGATGAGGGTCTTATCTAAGGTCCTTAGATGAGGCCCTATATTTCAGCCATTAGATCAAATTAGTTAGTTTAATCCAACAGTTAATAAATACAACCTCATCCAAGGCCCCACTATAGAATACTGGGTGGATTATTTTTGTATCTTGCATTATCTGTATATCTCATTCAAACTCTACGCACTTGGACTCGAGTTTTAATTTTTCAATTATGCAATTGCTTCCTTCTAATTCAACTATTTTGCCACACAAATTTCAAATGGGCAATAATTTTCTCCAGAAAGAGAGGGAAACCACAAAATACAGCAAGGAATATCTGATTTTTGACAAAAGTCCATAGTCAAATGCTGATTATCTGGTGAAGGATAGTATGTTCTTGCAGAAGACAGCTTTTAATAGAAAATTTTAGTATGGAACTGAAGAAATATGACCATTTTGTAGATATACAAACAGCCCCGGTAATTATAATGCCGCAATGGAAGTATGTGTATCCTAAGGAAGTACCAATTTATGTTCATGGGAAGGCCAACAAATCCCTTCCCTAGAGCAGGAGGGGAGAGGAGCAGGCTGGGCAAGGTAGGTAGGATACTGCTGTCCTGGCATCAATACTGAGAAATCAGGCGCATAAGATGTCGAAACCTGTAAGATGAACAATCAAGATCAGCTCAAACAAGTAGATGAAGTAATTAGAAGAGTTCACATTTTAAGGCTAGGTTGAGCTCAGAAAAGTGAAGAATTCTCAATCATTTGAAGCACAGAGAGCTTGCAGAAGCAGACATAACTAGGGGAAAAAGGACAGTGCAAAAAGTACTCAAATCTAAAAACTCCCCTGTTCTTGTAGGAGAATAAAAGCGGAAATGCAGGTGAAGATATAACAACTTGGAATGCTAGCAATTTTGTTATTCATGCATGATAAGAAAGCACTTTCTTTTTTTTGCATCAGAAAAATTTCAGATTTCCCTTCCAATTATGGAAGTAAAACTAGTACTTAAAGGGAATGAAGAACATTAAAAAACACAAGGGTTTGAAATCAGATTGGAACATATTAAACACAACAGAAAATTCCTCTTATGTAATTACTTCAACAACAATATGAAGTAGGAACTTACAGTTTGTGGAATTCCATGCTTCTTAAAAGTGCCAGACTCTAGAGAACCATGAGTTGCGCCTTCAGGTGTGGAAAAGGAAGGACTTGGCTTGAACAAATGTTCAAAGATGGCCATGATAAGAAACATAGATATCAAGATAGCTGTGGCAACAAATCCAAAAGAAATGGCATTCATGGATGTTCCAGAGCTTTTCCATTGCACTTGCCGATCAATTCCTGCTTGAGACGGGCTTGAGTCTGAGCTTGTATATATGTTCCATGGTTTTGCTCTTGCAGAACCAATCTCGTTCATAGTCCCACTCACTAGATTTTTGCTTTCTCCCCGCTTTAAAGCTAATTTCGGGGGCGAAAGGGGGTTGGGGTATTTGCTATGGATGCTGTAAGAACTAATTGATGAGAGTGATCAAATGCAGGCTTCTACCTAATTCAGATGTTGGTAACATTTTGATTCTTCTATAAGATTTTCTTTGCACATATATATTGATGCCTCAAGCTGAAAAAGAAAACATGAAAAAGACCTTTAACATTCTGATATAAGGATGATTCAAAACCAATGTTGCAAGAAATCACAGTAAAGATGTAGAAAATAGAAAGAAAAGAAAAATGTAGCTATTGCCTCTTTAAATACCAACAAAAGAGAAGCTCTAGACTCGTACAAATGCATTGATTATGTCAAGTACCATTAAAGGCACAGTATTGGTTATATTTCCTGGGGATGAGTAGTGAACAAGGCAATCCACATAGATTATGACATTACCATTCTGATCTAGAAAATCAACTTTGGAAGGACAACCACTCATAAAGCAGTAAAATAAGCAAATAATTGAAACATTTTCTTGAAGAATATTGTATGATAGTTCAAACGGTTTAAGGATTTCTTCAAAGCCGATATCATGAATTTAAGCTACAAATAATATTTCATAACTTGGAACATGTGATATTTGTATGCTTAAAAAGATAATTGACCATGAGGCCTTTCACGATCACCAGACTGTCAATGTATCTTCAAATTTCTTATATTGCTCTGGGGAAAAATTCCACAACACTCAGTTGAAAACAATACTATGCTTAAGCTCCAAAACAGGTCAAAGAAGACCTGAAAACAGAAAAGACTTCAGACGAAGAAGTCTAAACGTGTCAATTGCTAACTTAAAGGCACTTGACTGCTTCAGGGCACAGGAAGAAGGAGAATGAAAAGTACAGTTTGGACAGAAAAAATGTTGAGTAGCATACGTTTTATGATAGTCATCATCAACACTTAAAAGAAGTATTTTTTCCACCAAGAAAAAGGACAGATTTCCTTCAAGTGAAATTTAAAAACCAATTCGTAGAAGTGTTTCGCAAGATTTATACTTGGTCCAAAAACATTTAGAAACAGAAACCCAAATAACCAGCCTACTCAATTAAAACAATGCAAGCCTGCTTCCGGACACTCAAAGAAAGAGGGCAATTATCACAATCATCTCCAAATAAGAAATGTACACACAAAAATATTCACTGCAGAAAGGGTGACTCTAAAAATGGACTTAATTGAGTGAACTCTGCTTATAATATGAGGTAAAAATCAGTTCAACTTCATTTCTAACAGACCTGGGTTCTAAAATGGAAGACAAGAGTGAACCCAGCAGATCATTTTCACTCACTTGTTCCTAATTTTCATTCTTTGAGAAGCTACTGGAGATCATAAGCTGGGCTTAAAAATGCAAATGAGATCAACACAAAGAAAAAAATGACACTTAACAAGAAAAAATTTCAACAACAAAAAGTTGATGTTTAATGAGTCCTCTAGACTTACCTGGTCTTAGAAGCAGTAAAGCCATTGGTTTTGGTTCATACATATAGCATTAGCAGCAACCATAATCTTGGTCTCCGATTCCATAGCTTTGCTGCTACGAAAAAACAAGACACCAACACTTCTCAATGCATTACTTAAAGGAAGTAGCTCACCCAGCTTTATAATATCTCATAGAAAATGTAAAGACAAAGTTATATGAAAATCCCATTGGCACAACTTTTCTTTTTTATGGTTTGATGTTGATGATCCTGATGCCTAGCTTAATGGATACTATACCTTGTCTGAAGAAGCAAACTTAAAGAAATCAAAAGAATGGGCCTCCCTGTCTGTGTAGCCAAAAACAAAAGTGGGGCACATTGGTGCTTTTTAAAAGTTGGCAACTTTTTTTAAGTGCTAAATCTTCATTTAGGTCGCAATTTGTAATTCTAACCCCAACTCATTAACCCACATGAACCCATCTGCCTCTTGGTGGAAACAAGCAGAGAAGCTATGATTTCTCAGCCATTCTGATCATAATTAACTGCATTCTCTTTACATAAACTTATGAATTAGTAAAAGATTATATGCATCAAGTGCTTAACCATCATGCACAATGCACACATATGATCATTCTAAGTTTCTAACTATCATTTAGATTCAACATAACAAATAGAGGAAATCCACACGGTCAGGCCAGCTAGACAAAGATTAGAGTCGATAAAAAATTACTCTTTTTTGTGGAACCAATTTTAAGAACTTTTCTTTTGGTTCAAAAGTCACACAGATAGCATCAATGACTAACCCAATTCAAATCCAACATTAACATTTGAATGTAATCATGGAAAGGTGACAATATCTCACATAATCTCCAATAATTACCCACTAAATAAAAGAAAGAGAGAAATAAAAAGAAAGAAAAAGCTGCTACAGATTATTAAAACAACCTATATGCAACTAAAGGCTGCTGCAATTTGCAAAGAGAAAGAAAGAAGGCATAGGCATTGATTTTTAGATGGCTTTGCCAAATTGGCATTGAATAGGGTTTTGGGTTAAAGCACACACACCCAACAAAGCCAGAGGTTATGAAAATACCAGAAAGAGAGAAAGAATTCAAAATGAAATAAATATTTAAGGTGGGTGGGAAAGAAAGAAAGAAACGTGGAGAGAGAATCAATGTTGGATAACTTACAGCTGTGCTGTACCAGATGAGGAATGATTCAAGAGAAGAAAGAAATGGGATGAGAGGGGTAAGCATAGCAAACATAAAGAACAGAGCTACAGAAAAGTGGTGATATAGGCCACATTTATTTATTTGTTCATCATATTTTCTTAAACCCATGACTTTTGTTTTGTCAGAATCACTAAAGCCAATACCTGTATTCTTTGCAAAATCCCAGTACACTCAAAGCAAAATTTTGCAGGAAAGGACCACACTGTCTTACTCAAAGCTAAATTTGAAGTAAATAGTCACTCTCTCAATCACAAAAAATTGATAATCCAACTTAGACAACCACGACTCGAACTTAAAATCTCTTTAAACATTAGGGAAAAAAAAAAGTTATCCTCAGACTAAGAATCAGAACTAGTTTATAAGTTTACGGAGAAATAGGCTTGTTAAATTACCTGTAAGCCAAGAATGCTTTACCCAAAAAAAAAAATGAAATAAAATCTGGAAGTGAAGAAATCAAAATATAATGAAAAAAGTAAGCCTAGAGAGGTGCATACATTCATACATACATACATACATACATACATACATATTACACATAAAGAATATATTAAAGTAAATGCAGAGAAAAAGGAAGAGGGGTAAGCCTTGCCTTGGTAGTAGGGGGGTTTTGTTTGTTGCCGTGAACCCATTGAGTGCGAGGCTTTTGTCAACAAGGCCATCACCATGTCTGAGAATGATGTGAAAGGCTATCTAGACTACTCTTTCATATTCCTAATATTGAGAAAGGAACCATCATTTTTATCTAAAAACAATCAAATGCAAACAACAACAGCATAAAGTGAACATCTTGTTAACTTAAACAGTGAATAAAAGTTTCAGAGCAAACAATAAAAGTGCACAACTAATTCCAATAACTTAACCTTCTGGCCGGAATTTTATTTTTATTTTTTTTTAATACAAGCAATATTGGAATATGGGGATTCGAATAAAGGCGTTCGGGTGAGGGAGCCCCTTGCTTACCTAGATTTTTTTCCCTCTTTTTATCCAAGGTCTGCTGATCAACTCTTCATCTTCCTCGCAATTTAATTATAAGTTATAACAAACAAAATTAGATACAATCAAAGGCAAATTAAATTAAAAGTGAGCTAAAATGCCATGTCAAATCAGAAAAAGAGAAACGAAGTATGATTCCCTTTTTAATGAAATTACCCATTTCATCACATGAAAGATTGTTACTTTTGATTTCCATGTAAGACATTTCCACAAAGCAAAGCAAAGGGACCCCCATGAAGAAAAAGCACACCGAAGCATAGTTGAAAATAGATTGAAACGCATATGTTTTTCTTTTCCTTGGAGAATTAGCAAGCAAAACACTTTAAAATTATCTTCTCATACTATAGAGTCTACAGTCCAAAGGAAATGAATGCACAAAGAATTTGCATGGGAAAAGAGTAGAAACAACTTGTTTTGCTTTTTCATATCACCTTCATAAGTTTTGCTATTTTCTCTCTTTACTTTAGGCATACTCAGTAATGACCCCCACTTTATTCATGATCTTCCATGATCTTCATAAGGAAACGTATGAAGGATAAAACAGAAACAAAGATGGTGCACCCTTATTTGTGTTTTCTTTAAACTCATGTTGGCAAAAATCTACTTATGACTCGTTTGGAAGTGCTTATACCAGTAGCGCTTATGTTAAGAGCGCTTCTATAAAAAAGTTGTCACATATATTTTAGTCAAACAAAAATATTCTCAGTCTAGCAAGAAAGCATTTATATAGGTTAATGCCTAGTTGAGAAATTATAGCAGCTTCTTCTGCCTACAACACAACTCTTGTTTAAGCAGAACTTGGGCTTCTCTCCAGTGTTCTGCAAGCCTTGCAAATAAGGATTAAATAATCAACTCCTGACCCAAATCTAATCTCATGAGAAGGCAAGAACCAAATTCAACCATCAACCCCATAAAACAAATTTAATCAAGAACCAAATTTATAAAATAAATAAAGAGCTCCATACAACAACCTGGCCTAGAAGGCCTACCAAATGGTTCTAACAAAGATCCCTAGAGAGCCCAGCAAGTCACACAGAGTTCATAAAACAACCTACAACTAACATATCCAATAATAATCAGCATCTGAAAATGTTCACTTCCAGTGCAAGGTTCTTTTTGTCCATAAGCTCAAAGATGCAAATATCTCCTTCTTTTAACCAATTTGCCTTTTCAAATGCTCCCCAGCCAGCACTAAATCGGTAGTTTTGAGGATGAAAAATCAAAGTCACAGGCCACAATCTATCTCCGACCAGAAGCCTCGCGGTTTGATTCTTCACTGGAGTGAAATGCTTTCGAAAACTACCTGGAACATGCTGCAGATATAACATATGGTAAATATGGCTCAATGATATATAGTGGAGATGATTTAGAGCTAGACTTTGAATAAAGTGCTACATGTAGAATGTTATAAATCAGTGTCTGAACCAAATGAAGTTGTATAAATCCCTTACCGCCTTACGGGATGGCCCCAAAGTGATTTTGAAGAATGGGTGGCTTGGGACGAACTTGTTGGCAGCTTTAACAGTAGCCCTCAAAGATGAAGATGAAGATGAAGAAGATGATGGCTTTGATGAAGAGCGTGGCTTTCTTCTGTTTTTCTCTTGAGACAGAGGAAAGAACTCCGAACTCTCAACAGACTTAACATCATCATCATCATCTTCATCAATTAGTAAAATCTCCGAACTTTCATCAGTTTCAATCTCTAAGCTCTCTACAGACTTATCATTATCTTCTTCATCATCTTCAATCTCCAAAATTTCTTCTATAGACATATCATCATCTTCTTCTTCATCGGTTCCTTCAATCTGGGGCATTATTGGATATTCAATCTCTGTGCCGCTTTCATCAAATATCAAGACATGGAATTTGGATTTCCCTTCATATTGGAACACTAAGCAGCTACCAAAATCAAGAGAGCAAAACTTAGAGAACTCAGGCCAACCCTTTTCAAACCAAAACTCACCAGCACATCTTCTGAGTTTTATTTCACTTTCCGAACCACCTGGAAGCTTAAGGTGTATTTGATCTGATAGATGCTCTCCATGTTTGTCCATAAATGTCTTTGGCACCCTCTGCACAAAACAAAAACTTGTCAACTAGCTATTTCATAAAGCAATCTAGAACTTCTCCATAGCCAACAAAACAAAAAATAGAAAAACAAAGCCCTATATGTAGTGCAGATAAGTGTTTTGAAAGGCAAAGCGTAGGTCTCGTAAGTAAGCCTTGAAGCCTTGAGGTGTACGCCTCCTAAGACACTTTCATGATTTTAATATTAAAAATATTAAATAATTAAATTGGAATACTAATTCTTATTCAAGCATAACAATCAATCCAATATAATCAAATATGATTGTTAATATCACAATAATAAATCTTAAAATATAGAATACTCAATTGTTCATAAAATATTCAACATCAAAGGAAGAATTCAATTCATTCACAGTAAGTCTGTTAGATAGCTAACTAGGTCGGCATGATAAATAAAATAAAATAAAAACATTTTGCTAGTCATAAAACACAGGGTTTCCATTTTATTTTATTTTTCTTTCTTTTTAAGTCAAATAGGGGCAGGGCAGCATGTTTTCTTACAGGGGATTGGGGAGGCTAGGACTAATCACAAGGATAGGCTTGGCTAGGACTTTGGACCAAGTCCTATCCTATGTTTGGTGGGGATGCTGGACTAGGAGGGACTAAGGGAAAGCGTGCACTTTTTCACTCCTTACTGCTGGAAATGTATTTTTGTCAAATCAACCCAAACACAAAGCCATTCAATTTTGCAAGAGCAAAATTTGACTAATCAGAATAAACCCAAGTCAGAAGCCACACTTCCAATTTTGGGCTGCTGGGCTAATTAATTTAAGCCCCTCATTTAAGCTTGTCTAAAACAAGCCCAGTTAGGAAAGATCGACCCATCGGATCTTAAGTCGGGACTGACGGGGCTCGAACCCGCAAGCACAAAATCAATGTTGAATCAACAATCTTTAGAGGCAGGATGCCGAGAATCCTCTCTCTATCTGCGAAAGAGCAGGCGTGTGTGGGAGTGGGACTTTAGGGCAAGACTCTGCAAGACCCATAAAGATGTTAGAGGTTCCTCTCGTTTGTCTTTCTCTGCTTTCTGGAGGTACCAGGCCTCCGACCTCTTTCATGGCTTGAATGGGTCAAGAAAAGTAGCATGAAACGGCGGATCTTATCTCAGACAGAGCACAACGGGTCAAAATAGAAAACAAAACCCTCCTATTTCGTTCATAAAGCAGAAGTTAAAGGTACAGTTGGGGATGCTTACAAGTCTTTTGTCTCTAGCATTCGTGTTCATGATCGTCTTCATGAAATGGGGAATTTTCTTTGCAGCCATTGTAGGAGGAAGGAAGCACTTGAAAGCTGTGGTTTCAATTCTAGAGAGGGCAGCTGTGTGGGTGTCTTAATTCAAGTGAGTTGAGCTGAGCTGAGCCAACCAACCAGAAGACAATAAAGAGATTGGGGGGTTGGGGGGGAAGTATTGAAAGCTTTTTTCACCAAAATGGCAGTGGCAGAAAGCACAGGGAGTTTTTTTTCACCAAAATGGACATAGCTTGCGACACGCCTAACCTCATCATTAATACTATCCATCCACCACAATATATGCATATGCCAGCAGCAGCATGCTTCCCCCTTTCAGACAGAGACTAATGCAGCTTTAGACTTGGATGGTCTTTGATGTAAATACTTCAAAAGGAGGGAGACTGATGCTCAAGCTTTAACTGACTTCTCCTCGTTTTTGTTTTGCATTTTAGTTTTTCAATCTGTTTTAGTTTTGTTTGGTGGTTACAAAAAAGAATAATGCTACTCTTACCACATTTGTATACCACATTCTCATACCACCTTATGTGGCAGATGAGGTGGACAACACATCAATTGAAATTAATTTAAAGTTTTCTTAACTTTTATGATTTATTGACATTTTTTAATTGATGTGATTGTCCACTTCATCTGTCACATAACGTGGTATGAAAATGTGGGATATAATTGTGGTAAGTGTAGCATTACTCTACAAAAAATGCCTGCTGCTTGATAATTTTGCTGGCAGTGGCCTGATGATGTACAAGATATAATTGTAATTACACAAACAAGGTGCGGTAGGCAAAAGAATCATCAACTCGTAAGTTTTCAAGATGCGATTCAACTGGTCATTATCGACAAACTTGCAAGAATCCGGTAGCACTTGATCCTACTTTGTAGACACAGTGAATAACCTTTTACTCTTTACATTTATGAATTCTAATGAATGAATGGTTAATTTTATTTTATTTTTTCTTTTGTACATCATCTTGTTGACCTTTTGTATTGTAATGTCAAAATTTAGTGGTTTTTCATTTACACTATCGTGTTCAACGGTTTCTTTAGCTGCAATAGCTGCAAAGATTTAACATATAGCAGTACATCAGACAATCAACCCAAATCGATGAGCTTTCCTAGGGAGCATGATACCAAACCCTCCTAAATCTCTCAATTTATGGTTGGAGTGTCACTTTTTTAAAAACAAATCCGGCCAAAAAAGAATAGATAACAAAGCAACACTTTTGAAGTTTTAGCGTGCTCGCTGGATATTGTTTGTTTAACGTGTGTTAAGAGAAATTTTGGCTTTTAATTGCATAATTGCATTTGAATTTTAAGGGCACTTGTGTCTTTTTAAATGAGATTTTAGTTATATTTGAAAGTTTTTATAAAAACCGACACTTACTGAAAGTAAAGGTCAAATTTTAGCTATTTATGATAAAAACTCAATCTCACTTCTGACTTGAAAAAACAAAGATTTTTTAGGTTTTAGACATAAATTTTTTTTCACTTTTGGAAAAAGCCAAAGCTTTTTCAAAAAAGACAAAAAAACCACCCAACTTTCAATCAAAGACATGCAAATATATTGGATTCCTTAGGAAATCTAAAAATAAATAAGGGCATTTTTGTCCATTTTTGCTTCTTTTAAAATTTTTTTCTCTTCTTTTGCTTTTTCCAAAATGTCCCCTTGAACAATGTCAAATAAGCGGAACAAACAACCATAAATCTTTCCCAAAATTGAATGCTCACAAAACTTGGAAACTAAACTAAAAGCATTGTGTATTTGAATAACTAATGATCAAACAACAAAAAAGGGATAACTGTTGATCTATCACTAATGCCAAATTAAGCCTTCAGCCGGCCGTAGAACCTAGCCTTCTCTTGGGTAGTTTGGAAACGACCATGGCCAAATTTGGATGACGTATCAATAAACTTGAGCTTAATGTCCTCCAAAGCAACCCTAGATGTCTGCTTCAGAAGTGACTGCCTCAAGGTAACAACCCGCTTTTTAGGACCCACACAGCAGCCCTTCATTAGAAGATAATCCTCTTTCACTGCACCATAGTGTGGGAAACCTCCCATTGGTGTAATATCCTTCTCAGTCCTGATCAGAAAATGATAATGAGCAAGACGTTTAAATATTGCAGATTGGACAAGACTAACCATTACAATAGACCAATTGCAAGGGCTTTATTCCAGATTCAACCCTAGTAAAATCTTAACCGAGAAGAAAAATGTAAAGGAAGAAGCACCAACCTGTCAAACTCAGTCATTGCAGAGTGTGACTCTTGCCCAGCCTTTCCAAGCTTGTAAATCTTCTTGTTCATCTCAGTACGATGATGGTAACCATTCTGCCCAGCCCTGGCAACAGTAAATGAAACCCTAGCTGGATGCCAGGCACCAATACAGGCTACCTTCCGCAGCCCACGATGTGTCTTACGTGGAAGCCGGGTCACACCCCAACGTGTCACCACACCCTCGTAACCCTTCCCCTTGGTCACCCCAATAATGTCAATCATCTCGTCCTTCTGGAAAACAGCATCAACAGGAATCTGCTTCTCAAACAAACTGTAAGCGTAGTCAACCTTCTTTGCAATGTCTCCACCATTCACCTGAATCTCCATCAGATGGGCTTTCTTCTGCTTCAATCCCTTCATTTTTCTAATCTACAAAATACAGCCATCAAAGATTAGTTCTAACTAACAGTACATATTTCAGCAAAATTCATCTGAACATAGTAAATTTCTGACACAGTCACATCCTTTCTATTTGGAATAAGTAGTCACATCACATTCTTTTTTATTTGGAACAAGTAGTCACACCACATCCACTTTCCAAGACAGCATAAGATGAGCCTAGTAAATATCAAAACTCATTACCTGAGTGTGAGCCAAAACACGAATCACAGAGGAGTACTTCTTCATTTTCTCCAACTGAGCCTGGATATCCTTTTTCCCACCTTCGCTCTCAAATTTCTTTGAGTACTTGGTGAATGCCTTCTTTTTAGACTTGCACCAGTTCTTGTAGAATCTCCTCTTCACCTCCTCACTCAGATGCTGAGCCCACACTGTGTCCAAAGAACGGAGACCACGGGGAGTCTTCACATAACCAACAACCCCAACCACCACCATTGGCGGTGTTTCAATAATTGTAACTGCTTCACATGTTTCCTTCTTGTGTAGCTCTACAAGGAAAGGTGGGTTCAGAACATAAGCACTATAGATAAATCGGATAAATATATAAGTAGGGCACAGACGAATGGGCAAAGTAATCTACTACACCGTAAAATTACCGAAAGA